AAATAATCAAACTTCCTGCAGTTGTTGTGTTCACTGTTTGTGTTCATTGATCAGTTGATCAGCTGCTGATAGCTCTGCTGTTATTGATTGTGATCAATAGAAATATAGTTGGTTTACTCACTGATAGAAACGGCTCCTTGAAGAAAAAAGGTTGGGAACCATTGATCTAGTGTTCTGAGATTACCTCATTGAGGCGGAGCCTGTGGGGAGGGAACCCAATAGAACTTCATACTGAACGTTTTCAAGCTTCCTGTGTTTCTCACTTTTGTCCCTTTTTGCCGCCTTTAGTTTTGAAGCACCATTAGCCAGCATGTTAACAGAGCGACGGCGGACAGTCAGAAAACAGTACGAAGCTCTGCAGCAGAGGAGAGCCCTGCAGGACACAACCAATCATCCCCGTGACAACATCAACCTGAAGGACACTCCCAGCACACAACCCAACCCTATCACTTCCTTCTTGGTGCTCCCAAGCCGGGTCTCCCCCGCCCTTCACCTGGACTACACCCAGAAACTGCAGCTCCAGCAGCAGATACAGCAGGTACCTGAGACTGAACATGTTGTTACAATCATCTTCCCCTCTGCTCGTCTCTGATCCTGGATGCAATGTAGGGACGCAGATCCAGATGCAATCAATCCAATTTTTATGCTGTTCTCCAATATCTTGTTTGCACATGATGTCACTGTTTCACTACATTTCTGTAGCGGGAACTGCAGTTGGAGGGCAAGAAGTGCTTTTTGACTGGAACATAGTTTGGATCAATGGAGGCAGTGGTAGACCAGACACTCTCATTCTGAGAGGTGAATTGAGTACTCTGGTGTCTTTTGAAGACAGCCATATAACATATAACAAGGACAAGTGTCGCGGTCAAGCAGTTGCGGTGGTGACCTCAGAATTAATGTGGTTCTGTTGGGTCCATCAGACTGGGAGCTCCAGTGAGCACTGGGACAGTTTACAACACTCCCTGAGGTCTGAGGTCCTAGTAATCTTTGGCCCCTCAGGTTGGACTGAGTCCCTGTCCCAACTGAAGGAATTCTGGTACCTCAGGTTCTGGTTCAAGAGGATGTATTTCATATATTGGTATGTCTATGCTTGGGTCGAGATCCAAAGATCCAAACAGAATGTTTATTGGTTTCTGTCTCTCTCAGCATGTACAGCTGCTGACTCAGGTCCACCTGCTGGCTCGCCGTGTTGAGGCTCTGAACCACGAAGCCTGTATCACTAAACACTACCTGGTCAGTTTGTAAACAACAACACAAACACTACCTGGTCTGTAAACAACAACACAAACACTACCTGGTCAGTCTGTAAACAGTCTCTTGTTGTTCCAGGGGGAGCTGCAGCAGTTTGCCTGCCGGCAGGAGGAGGTTTTTTTCCCCAGCAGTTTCAGAGTGTGTAACCTGCAGGGGGCTCTGGATCTCTTGCAGGAGGTGGAGCAGAGAGCGGAATCTCCTCCTGCTCCTCCTGCTCCTCCTGCATCCAGACGCTGGCTCCCCAGGATGACTCCTGCTACTAACAGTAAGGAGGGAAATAAACTATTAAGTTTCTCTCTACTGGTGGTTGTGGTTGTGGTTCTAGTTCTGGTTCTGGTTCTGTTTAGGCCATGCCTTCCCTCTGCTGCCCACCGACATTGCCTGGCTGTTCGCCACTCGTCCCATCTTCCTTTACCCAGAACTACTTCCTGTCTGCAACCTGGACCACACCCAACATCACCGGAGTGTTTACACTGCAGGAGAGGACGGGTAAACAATGATACATAAATGCCTATTAACTAGAGTAGAACATTATGATGTTATCAGGGAAAACAGAGTTGGATAATTAGGAATTAATGGAGTCCACAGAGGCAGGCTCTGGACACCTCATTGAGTATTCTCCCTTACATACAGACATAATACACACTACAGTGCTCTCCAGAGTGGGACATTGTGACTGAACATGTGTCTTGGCTTTGTAGTCAAAACAGCCCAGAGAAGTGTATATGGGACAGAATAATTCAGGTAGAACATTGCACAACAACAATGTGGAAACAGCAGCAACTGATAATGAAAACTCTCACAATATCACAGTCTGCGGTTCATGTGGCTGGAAACTGGCAAAAATTAGGAAATAAAACATTCAGTAATGTAAATGTGTGAAGTGTATATAAAAAACAGCTTTAAAAAGTAAAGTAAGTAAAAGAAACTAAGTAAGAAGCCTTGTCTGGCAGTCTTCTACTGATTTAAGTAAGATTTTCACAGTGTTTTCTATTCAATTCAGTTCAGTTTTATTTGTATAGCACCAATTCATAACAAAAGTTATCTCAGTTATCTAATTTTTTCAAAGAGAGCAGGTCTAGACCAAACTCCTTCTAAACAGATTCTACAGATGGTATGCTGGCACAGGCAGACTGCAGCTAGGGTTACAAATGGTTAAAGTGCATGACGTCTCAGCGCTTCTGAGCATGTGCAGTGCATGGTTCCCACAGGTCCTTGACACCCTTGTCAGTGAATTTGTGTGAGTTTGAGGGAAATCAAGGCCTTGAATGTTTTTGGAATAGACAAAAGTAGACATGGGTCATTGAGAAAGTTGTTTTCGAGTAAAGGAATATAAATTGCTGCTGGCTCTTATAAATATTCTGTGCAATCATAATTAACTCTGATCCATGGCTCAAACTGCCATTTGGGTCCTTATATTTGAGTGAATTGGACCTGGAAAGTCCTTGAAAAGTAATTGAATTTGATGTTTAAAAAGGCTTGGGAACCCTGGCAGAACTACAAATTTATTCACTTCATTGACATTTGAGTCCTGGATTCATGGCTCAGTCTGACAGTAATATTTCCCATGATGCCTCTGTGCAGTTTGATCATCCTGGGGCTGAAGCACTTTGAGGGGGCGGTCCAGTCAGATCAGCTGATCAGCTCCTACCTGCTCTGTAAGAGTCGATGGAACTTCAGGAAACACATCAGAGAGATGAGCGGACCGAGAGCGCCACACAACAATGTCATCAAGGTGACCTCGCTGTGACATCATCACACACTGTATGACATCATCAGCGCTGGTGGAAAGGTGAACTTTATGTTCTTGTGCTTTCAGACGTTCCTGATGCAGCGAGTTCTCCCCCCGCTGCCGCTCGCCTGCAGCAGAGTTCAGTCGGGAGACCAGCGCCCCCCAGTGGACAGAAACACATCCAACATGCCAAACTGGCTCAAGGTCTGACAGACTTAACCAGGCCCACATTCACATCCAAATCAGTGTGAAGCACAAACTCAAGTGCTTTTATTTGTTAGATTTTATCAACATAAACTACTAAAGCTTATTATGTAACGTCCATTAAACTGTTACTGTTATTAACAGTGCCACCTGGTTGGTTGGTTATTTATCCCTGGGGGGAAATTAAGGTGTAACAGCAGTTCACATGTCAGGTTGCAGCTTATCTGCAAGTAGTGCCGACTGTATGGTGTTAAATGTACTGTACTGTACTGATGTACTGATGCCCAGAGTTTGATCTCCCCCTTCACAAAATGGGAGAATGTTGCCAGTGTTTTTGTCAGGTTGACATCATTAAAATCACCAGAGATTGCAATGAATGAGCTGGGGTGCTGGGTCTGTAGTCTGGCTATAACAGTATGTACAGTGTCAAGCGCTGCCTCCATGTCGGCAGAGCATAGGATAAATACAACCGCAACAACGTGAGAACTCATGTGGCAAATAGTATGGCCGAAGTCCGGAGGCTAAAAGTTCAGTGTCTAGGTTACCGGCTACAGACACTTTCCTTCACGTGAATATGGTCAGGATTGCACCATCTGTTGTGGCCACCAGCCAACAACCACATTAGTGGACTCCATTTATGAGCTAACGTTAGCTAGTGTTGCCCACTGATGACACTGTAGGGAAGCGGAGAGAAGGCACTCGGGAAGCCATAAAAGGTCACAAACCTTTGACGCTCATCCCTACATAGAAAACACCATAGAAATCAGTCCCCACAGGACAGCAGAGGAACAAAGCTAACACTGCAAGCCCGTTTCACCAACACCCACACACACACCACCACACACACACCACCCTGATTCACACGACACACACTGAATTCAACAACACACACACAACCAACAACCAACTTGGAATACACAACCCCACAAACCTTGGGATACCACACGGATTTCAAATGGGAAAAAAATATAATAAATAACTGCAGAAAAACAATTAGACTGAGAATAACTTAATTTAAAAAATACATGCTGAAACCCCGGCTAAATGTTTTCTTTATAAATACATTAATGTAACTCACTCCTGTAATTTATATTCTTATTATTTGATTCTTATTTTTAAATGGAGTCCCCAGAAAGGGTTATCAACTTAAATCCATTGTTAAAAAATTCAGAGGCCGAAATTGTAACAGTGTCCAGTTTACAGACCTGGAAAGTCCAGTAAAATGTGGTTGATGGTTCCTCCACCTACAGAAACAGTCCCCAGCATGGTTCAAAAAATGGCCAAGAAGGACCGGACGAACCCTTCCGACACGATGTTAAACCCCCCCTCTCTCGCCAGGCTGCAAAATCCCTTCTG